GACTTTAAATGTAATAATTATGAGATAAAACTTGAAATTACGACATTAAAAGTCATAATTATGAGATAAGTCGAAATTATGGCTTTAAAAGACGAAATTATGACTTAAGTCATACTTACGAGATAAAAAGTCGAAATTATGATGTATAAAGTTGAAATTTAGATAAAAAGTCAAAATTATGACATACTTAAGTCATAATTATGAGATAAAAAGTCAAAATTATGACAGATTTAAGTCATAATTATGAGAAAAAAGTCTAAATTATGAATTCAATCTAAATTATGACTTTAAATGTAATAATTATGAGATAAAAATCGAAATTACGACATTAAAAGTCATAATTATGAGATAAGTCGAAATTATGGCTTTAAAAGTCTAAATTATGACTTAAGTCATAATTACGAGATAAAAAGTCGAAATTATGACGTATAAAGTCATAAAGTCACAAAGTATAAAGTTGAAATTGAGATAAAAAGTAAAAATTATGACTTTAAAATGTGAAATTATGACTTAAGTCATAATTACGAGATAAAGTCGAAATTATGATTTAAAAGTCGAAATTGACTTAATGACTTTATGGGATTCCATAGTATTTTGATATAAGGGAGGCTGGGGTTAGCTGTCACATAAGAAGTTGTCAGAAGGACTTTATTTCAGGAGTTTTAATACAAAATAATATTTTTGTCCGTTTTTATCCAAATTCTCCAATATCTTTATATTTTAATAATAACTGTTGGGAAAAAACGTGCATATATATATATATATATATATATATATATATATATATCTTTTTTTTTTAAATAAATTACCCCATCAAGCTGGACATGTTATACATGGGGTTAAAAGCGCAATAAGTTCTTTATTTTCCCCTGAGAAATAATGGTGGAAATATTTTACAGTTTTTTTCTTCTAACTAAATATACATATTCACTTTCAAAAAAGTGAGAAATACTCACTGGAGTAAAAACGTGACAACTAGCCACGGTCTCCCTGATATATCATGCTACTGAAAGATTACCATAGTATACACAATCAGACACATACATACATATAAATGTTCATACAATGTGATCAAACACATGCATGTTAGTACAATTCAGCTAAGCCAGCTAAACACCAGCTTGTTCAAGCTGGGAGACCAGCTAGACCAGCTTAAACCAGCCAAGACCGGCAAAGCGCCATAGTTCGGTTCAGGTTTTTCAGCATGTTGAACCAGATCAAGTCATTATCCCAGCAGCATTGGTGGGATAATTACTTCAGTGGAAACAGATCTAAACAGGGATGGACTTTAATTACAGCCTGGGGAACTGGGGCGCAAAACTTCTCAAAAGAGAGACATGGAAAGGGTGTCAGGCTTTTGAGAGGAGATAATTGGGACCTGAACATGGATTGATTTTTGGGGATTGTGCCACTCGGAAAGCAAGCCAACGCAGTCCTGAATGAGCTTCACTGTGCCAAATAACCCTTGTGAATGGGTTGAGATGGAAAGTGGGAGTTAGTTGTTCATGTCAACTACATCTCCATCTAAAATAACCAGAGGCTCTGAAATGTCAAAATAAGAGCCCCTTTTATCAGTTATTAAGCAATTGCTCCATGTTTTTGGCTTATGTTTAGAATTAGGCCTAAAACAAATCAGGGAAAGTAAATTGTTCAACCTGACTGAATGTGTTTGGAAAGGTGGCATGAGAGGCTATAAACACTAATTCAAGCTGTCTCTATTGTCTATTTTACATTTATTAGATTTAATTGAGTGAGTGAAGTGCTTCCAAACGGCATTTTGTGTTTACTTCACGCTCCACCTGATTATTTATCTCATTAGGAGGCGGGAAATGAAGACACAAAAGAATAACGGTACTCAGTGACCTGTGCAGTATTAGAATGAAGTGATAAATTTACTCAGTGTCACAACACATTAGTATGATCACTTCTCACCAGTTTTCATTTAAAGGTTTGTCATTATCATCCGTTCTTCTACCACAGGACGGGACAAAGTCTGGAGCTTGTGTGTTGTTGTTGCTGCCATCTTGTGGGCAACACTCACCTCACAGCATTATATGCAATATTATACAGCATTATAATACACCACTGTTGCCATCTAGTGGTTAAATAGCCACACAACAAAGAGTGTGCAATAAAAAAGGCAATACAAATAAATCAAATAAAGTCCAGGCAGAATATATATATATACACTTGTAGAGTAAAGTAAAGTAAGGTAAAGTAAAGTAAAATAAATTAAAACCAAGGCTGAGTATATACAGACCTGTAAAGGAAAGTAAAGAAAAACAAAACCCAGGCTGAAATTTAAGAATATTTTTAAAAGCAATAAAATGAAATCAAATCCAGGCAGAGTATATATACATTTGTAAAATAAAATGAAATAAAATTAAATACAAAAATTAAAAACTTACAGATTGGGAGTGCACACATTTGTTTCAGTTATATGACAGTCATTATCTGTCACTCTTTATGCGATTTAAATGACAAAACATGCAAGAATGAAGAATACAGTTTAAACTTTATTTTTTCCTCTTCTATTTAAGTAGCTTAAATTTAGTCTTTCTAATTCACTTTCTATTGACTATTTTAACATTATTCATGGTTGTACTTTTGTTTATATTTTTATTGTATTTCAAATTAATGTGCATAATTCTCAAAAAATATCAAGGTCCTCATGTTGCAACTACATATACATCATGAATTATAAAATTATAAATAAACTGTAATATAAAATGGCATGGGAAACACTGACTTTAATAGTTTTTTTGCAATTAAACTGTGTAATGTGGATCTATTTTTCATTCACAATTTGCAAAGGAGATGAAGTACCACAAAAACAGACATCTAATTCTCCTTATGAGTCATTCTTTAATAACAAGTAATGTAAACTTACTGGCCATTTCCAAACTTTCATATTAATCGTTTCACTTGGTCAAATCAAAATATTGTCTTTGCGTTCACACAGTACTCACAGCTCAAGTTGTTCTTGTCTCATTGGAAAACGGTGTTTTGATGAAGTCTGTATAACTGGCCTACAGGGTGAACTGGCTGCAGTTGTTGGCTGGTTACTTCAGACAGCTTCTCTTCATGGGCCATTACTGAGCGGCTCTCACAGGGATCAGTACAATTTAACCATGAAATGTGGAGGGGAAAACAGTGTCAGAATCAGTCGGGTGCCCGATGGTGGGAATATGGGTAAGAGGTCAGTCAAGCATGTTTGGATCTGATTTACAAGCTTCAAATGGAAGAATGAACAATTTTAGTACTGCAACCTCAACTATGATAAATGTTCATAGAACAAACAGATTTTACATTATATTCAGGTTATGTTTGAAATACTATCCAACAATGCAATGTACTTCACCTGACCTTGTATTGATTATAATGGGAAATGTTTCATGAGCAGCAAATCAGCATATTACAATGATTTCTGAAGGATCACGTGACACTGGAAACTGGAGTAATGATGTCACACAGGGATAAATTAAATTTTAAAATACACTGAAATATTATTTATTTTAAATTGAAATAATATTTCACAATATTACTGTATTTTTGGTTAAATAAATGCAAATATGATGAGACTTTTTAAAAACATAAAAAAATTGTACTGACACAAACTGGACGGTAGTGTGTATTATTCTAATATAATTAAATTTTGTGTAAAAATGTCTCTTAACTAATAAGTCCAATTAAATTCAAAATTAACAAAGATATAATAGCAGATATTACCTGTGATTCATTTGCCACACTGGAAATGGAAGGTCAAGGTAAAAGCACCAAGTACTCAGCGGTATTCCACAGGGATCGGTATTCGGGCCACTTTTATTTTACCTCGTGTTCCAGTTTTACAAGGCTCTCAGAGTGTTAACAGACAGTCTGTCCTAGAGTTCCTTAGTCATGTCAACACCTATGGAAAACAGAACCTACAGAAAATGCAGATGCACCTATCCATGATCTTGTTTTCCTCAGCGATAAATGAGTGTACAGGCAGGTCAAATGGCAATGACGTTCCATAGCTGTGAACCGCTTCATGAACTGTGAGGGGAAAATACAAAGAGGAGAGAGGTGAGAAGGATGGCAAGGTGTTTTATAGCTGAGGATGACAGAGAAAAACAGAGCTGTTGAAAATGGCTGAATCATGGGTGTGAATTGAATTGAATGTTTTGAACAGTGCCTGCTTTCATAATGTTGATTTGTTGGCCTGGATTTGAAGTGTGGCTGAAAGAGTAAACTCACAGAAACATCTAAATTGAAATCAGTTTTGTATGTAGACATAGTTTGTATTCATTACGTGTTCATAGAAGCTAAACAAATGTATACAGTGTGTGATAATGCAATTCTAATCATCAGGGGTTAATGGCGCACATGCAAATATTCAAATCTACTAGATTATAAGACAAATATTGTTGTAGTTAAATGTATTATATACACTACTGTTGAATTGTCAGCATCATTACTCCAGTCTTTAGTGTAACATGATCCTTCAGAAATTATTCTAATATGCTGATTTGCTGCTCAAGAAATAGTTCTTATTATTATCAATGTTGAAAGTAGCTGTGCTGCTGGACATTTTTGTGGAAACAGTTATACATATTTTTCAGGATTCTTTAATGAATAGGACAGTTTTTGTAACAGTGCAAAAGTTTTTACTGTCAATTTTGATGAATTTAATGCACTCTTGTTGAATACAACTATTAATTTCTTTCAAATAATAATAAAAAAATGGACTAAATGATAATGCGTGGCACATTCTATACTTTTGCAATGCTTAATATTTGAAACAACCCAATAAAATCATTAGTCTTACTTTCAGGGACTGAAGTTGGAAAACACTCTTTTAAAGAATTGTAGTTCTTCTTAAGTGTTACCTTAATCTTCAGAATCTTTTTTTTCTAATCTTTTTTTTCCAACAACAAAATATTCTTATCTTTTTTTTAGTTAGAAAAATAAAACAACATTTAAGAAGAATTTTATTCTTAATGTTCCGTGAATCTGGCCCCAGAACAAGATAACCATGGTATATGTAACCTGTTAGTTATTTGGTTGACAAATGACACGTTCAAAACGCCCAAAATACAAAATGTACATCCTTTATGTTATAAAAATAGAAATTTCATACAATGAAATACATTCAGCCTTTTTTTCAGCGAGTATACAGTTAAATAGCAGTCATTCTGTGATATTTACACTACTCATTCTCTCTATAATCAGTTCTTTCTTTCAGTTCTGGCACTGTTCGAGGGCAATCTTAAATTGGCCAATCTGGATTATTTAAGGTCCGGGGCAATTTCCTTTTCCTGGTGCTCTTAGGTGGGATCTGGGGTTTGTAGTCTTCTCCAGAGCCAAAGTCCAGGCTTTCCTGGGTGTCCCTCCAATTGTCCGGGGCAGATGGGAAATCCTCTACGGAGTGCAATGGTCTGCTGAACACTTTGTTCTGCAGCTCTGCGATGTCGTTACGAATGTCAGCCATCATGAGTAACAGGAAGTCAAAGGATCCTGGCGGGCCCTGAAAACACAAACACACTCATCATCACATGAAATTCCAGGTCGCTGGAGTATGAGTTATCCCACACCCACAGGATTAACAGAAATGGGCATTAAGCAAGCAAGTAAAATACAGATGAGTCACATTTTCAACATACTGTCTGTCTTTCTGTATGAGCTGTTCCTCCCTTCCTGTTGAGCTTGGATACTTGATATACAGTAACTTTTCAGAGTTTAGATTTCTTTAAACACTGTGTACACCGGAAGTGACTGCTGTTGCACCATAGCAGCTTGCTATATATATATATATATATATATATATACATTCATGAAGAGTAAATACATAAATGCTAATATTTAAAAAAAAATTATTTTTTGCAATTATACTATAAAATAAAAAAGAATAAAAAATACAAATATAAGAAATTTATGGTAAGACTTATGAAACTTCTGCAAAAGTTCCTATATTTTCAGTGATTTTGCTTAAATTATTTTAGAAGAGAAAAATATTTTCATGCATAATTTTAATTTCAAATATAAGAACCGTCCGTTCATATTGACACATGGTTAGAAAAAAAATATGATTAAATTTTTTTTTTTATTTAAAGAAAGGTAGAAACCAAAAATATCATGAGTTGGCTTTTACAAAAAAAGTTATTAAAATATACAATAAAATTCATTTCAGAGTTTAGATTTCTTTAAACACTGTGTACACCGGAAGTGACTGCTGTTGCACCATAGCAGCTTGCAGTTGTCTGCACTGCCATCAATTACAGTTCATTAAGCTAAATACATGAATAATAAAACATAATGCAAGTCTTACAATTTAAATAAATGTAAATATAATTTTTTTTTCTTTGAACGTTCTTTGAACGTTCTAAGGATTTAGCTAAAATAATGCATGCAAAATCACTGAAAATAGGAAAACAAAAATATTTACCCATTATTCCAATTTCCTATTTTTTGCATGCATTATATATATATATATATATATATATATATATATATATATATATATATTCATGAAGAGTAAATACATAAATGCTAATATTTAAAAAAAAATTATTTTTTGCAATTATACTATAAAATAAAAAAGAATAAAAAATACAAATATAAGAAATTTATGGTAAGACTTATGAAACTTCTGCAAAAGTTCCTATATTTTCAGTGATTTTGCTTAAATTATTTTAGAAGAGAAAAATATTTTCATGCATAATTTTAATTTCAAATATAAGAACCGTCCGTTCATATTGACACATGGTTAGAAAAAAAATATTATTAAATTTTTTTTTTTATTTAAAGAAAGGTAGAAACCAAAAATATCATGAGTTGGCTTTTACAAAAAAAGTTATTAAAATATACAATAAAATTCATAATACAGAAATCACATACATGTGTTACTGAATTATAATTTTTACTACTACTACTATTAATTGCTATTATTAATAGAAATTGACTATATTTAAAAAAACACATACATAAATATAAAATTGATTGATATAGCTCAATTACTTTCTTACAAATGTAATTTGATTTGATTTGAATTTAAATTTAGATATCATTTATTTGTAAAAATAAATTCGATTTTTTTAGTAACTCTTTTTTTATGATCTAATTTTGTTGTGGCACACAGCCCTTATCCAGTTAAATATAAAAAGGCACAGCAAAGTTTTCAAGGGGTAGAAGAGTTTTTTGGTCTGTTGTCAAGAAAAATAAATCTTCTAGACCTGCTTTTGTGAATAATCACAATAAGATGTCTGTTTTAGTGCTTTGAGAGGGAGACAGACGGATAGACAGATAGAAGAGTGATCAAAGGTAAGAGCGAGAGAGACTAACACAGACAAATATATTTCAGACATAAGAACCATGAGAGAAAGTGCCATGATAAGAAGTTCTTACTGGAGGTCCGGAAGGGCCAGGAACCCCTCTCTCTCCCTGGAGAAACCAAACAAATATTTGGGTTAGCAGGATTACAGTAAAGAAGCCATGAGAAGTCCAACGGGACAGTTATTGCCCGCTATCTCTCAGTAACACGATCACACGTGAGAAAACAAGCCATCGCTGGCCTCGTCAAAATCAGACATCTTTACTCCGTCACTCAGCATCTGAATCACCACACAATACAATATAAAACCGAAAGACAGAAACAAGTTTATTCAGCATCTGAGTGTATATATAAATGTTATCTTAGTAGTGTTTCTGCGCACCATTTGGAGCTAGTCTCTAGCTCATTTGGGCTGAGGTATGGCAGTAGGTACCTCACAGATATTGACCCCTCTGTGGGGATTATGTAGGGTCAGGGTTCACGGAGAGGTAGTATGCGGCCCAGATGTTTTTGATTTGTGAATACAAAGCCACAAAAACTTTCTATACAAACATATAGGCTAATAGAAGTGCACACATTATACATGGATCAACCTTGAACCTCTGCATTGGAAAAGTGTGCTTATGTAGGCCTGAAACCTAAATATGTGAACATAAACGCTTCTGGCTAAGCTAGCTCGGTTGTGTTGTGTTCTGAAATGTCTGAAGGTGCAATTCATAAAGCGACACAGGTATGTTCTGAATTACTGACAATTACGGACAATCAAGGGACAATCAATCTGGTTAAAGTTAGTTAAACTGTTGACATATTTATTGCTAGCTACCTGAATAATAACATCCGGTTTATTGCACTGACTAGAGGTGTAACAATACACTCATGTCATGATTCAGTTCGATACTTGATATTGATCTCTCAATACCTTAAACAAAGCTGAAATGGTTTAAATAGTTTTTTTTTTTTTTTTTACTTCTAAAACTTATAATAAACAGTTAACAAAAGCACTGTTCATTAAAAAGTTACATTTTGGTATTACCGTACATGAGGAATGGACTACATACATTTTAAAAGTTTAAAATATTTTTTTATCTATATATTTTTATTTTCTCTCTCTCTCTCTATATATATATTATTAAATGTTTTTTTTACAGTGTCCTTGTTACACGCTACATGTAATTACTACAGTAACAACTATAAATTATGCATAAAATTACATGCAACTAGCTTTAAACCAAACCTTAATCCTAACTACATTGCAACAAGACAACATTCTGTTCCCTTATTTGGTCATGCTCCTGTCCTCGTTTTGTTAATTAGTTTCATTAGCTATCCCATGCACCTGTGTTTCCCCAATCATCCCCTGTATTTAAGTCCCAGTCTGTGCAGTCTGTCTCTGTCAGGTCTACTTGTTGTCTACGTGTGTTGCTCAAGCTCCTGTTGTGGATTATTCCCAGTGTTTCTTCGATTAAAGAATGTTAAATGTTTCCTCGTGACTCCAGCGTGCACCCCTGAACAGCATAACGTGACAAATAGACATTTGAAGGCAACTTTTTACCGCCGCAGTAATGCAAAAAATCATATATGTAATTCAAAATGCAGTAATGCAAAAAAATATAATATATGCACTCATATGCACTTGCAATATCTCGAACATTTGCATATACATTTGTATAATTGTGAAAAGAATGTTTCTGGTTTCATTTTTAGTTATATATTTTAATGTAGAGGTTGTCTATAAATCAGTCTCCAAGCCTAGCCTAGTTGGCTTTAAAAGACCTACCTCAATTCTTCTATAACTTTTGATATAATATTTAGCAAAAACAGTCCATTTTTTGGTACTGTTTTAGTACTGTTTTAAGACCATGAGCTAGCAGGTAACGGTTAGACTTGAGAGTGAACGACAGTACTGTACTATGCTTGATATCTTTAAAATATCTGTAGTTCACAAACTCTGAGAGAGTTATATAAAAATATACAATGATATGGTAAAATACATATATGATATCAAAGCTTTAATATACCATGATTATCAGTGGTGAATTGTGAAATCCCTCTGTGTAATTTTCCTCAATATTTGGACTAATCATATTTGCCATTTCAAGAACGTAATAATGGTGTTTTGACATTCTAAAATATCTGCAACTCGTCCTGCCATCTATGATGTCATATTTGACCAGACGCCATCCAAGAGTTTATTTCATTAGCGATCGGTCACCATTGATCTTAAACATCTTTATCCTGTTTTTCCAAATATTTGCATTCCACACATGGAAAACAGCCCTTGGCCACAGCTTTGAAAAGTAGTGGACAGAGATAAAGATAGACAGAAAACATACCGTACCTTCATGCCATCTCTCCCTGGAGCCCCGGGTGGACCCTACGAACACACACAAAAACATCCCGATTAAACACACAACCATACATATCTATTAAAATTACTGGACTTTTTTATGGACGTTTAATTTTTTTATTACTGCATAAGGAAAAGATTTGTACTTTATACTGTATTATACATTTATTTATCACAATTTTTATCAACAGTTTGCCTTTCAATATGTAACAAATCAATTTATAAAATAAACAAATATTCCATGTGGTCTCTCAATTAATATGAAGTCATGAAACGGCAAGCAAATCACTAGAAAAATGCAGTTTATAAAAAGTCTTTATTGTGCTGTAAAAAAGTTTATTAATGAAACTTGCAGCTTTAGAATTGTGCTAAATAAATAAATAAATACATACATAAGATACATACATATATAAAAGTACCTAAAATATACAATTGTTCATGTTTAAAATTTCAGTTTAGAAATATAATGTAATCGTTAAAAAAACATTTATCTTGCTGTACAGATATGAACTAATTCAATAGAGAAAAGAGAATTGTACATATAGAAAGAAAGAACCTAAAATATTCAATTGTTCATGTTTAAAAAGTTCAGTTTAGAAATACAGTAATGTGATTGTTAAAAAAATGTGATGTTAAAATTTAATTAAAAAAATATTAATGAAACTTGCAGCTTTAGAATTGAAATCAATCAATCAATGAATCAATAATATACAGTTGTTCATGTATAAAAAGTTCAGTTTAGAAATATAGCCATTTGATTGTTAAAAAATTAGATTGTTAATATAAAAATATTTATTAATGAAACTTGAATTATGAAACTTGCAGCTTTATAATGGTCATAAATAAGTAAATAATATAAAATTGTTTAAAAGTTCAGTTTAGAAACACAAATGTAACTTTAAGTCTATCATGCTGTAAAAATATTATATTGTAAATACCTTTTTATTTTAAATGAATGAATGAATTAATGAATGCATGAATTTATGCTTAAAGATTCATCTCTGAAAAGGCTTCATAAAATAGCTTTTTATCTGACCAAAACCATATGACAGCTAAAGGCCAAATTAAGGACCCTAGGCTCTCCAAGAAAGACATATTTATATTCATTGAATTATAGATTTGATGGTCCTATTCATTCAACAAAATATTTTCACACATCAAATCATTCCTGTCAAGATCTCTAGGGCAGATCTGAGCCATATTTGTACCAGAATGGAAAACATGATTCATCAATCTAAAAATACTGCATTGAATTCTTCATGCGGGTGATTAGAGAGAGCTAGTTCTGGGCCGGCGGCAACGTCAACAGTCCTTTAGTAAAGACACCGAGGGCATGTGTTCACAGCCGGAGCGGTTGTGACAGACAGGGGAGGCCCATAACTACACATGACTTGTATTTATGCACATGAAAAACACTACAAGATCCCACAGACGCAGCTCCTTAGCCAGCGTTTTCCAAGAATACTGCATAACTTCTCATTTATCAAATTAAAAACTGAATCTTTGAGCACTCTTGAACTAAATTCATGTTATGAGCTACGACTCCAGAGCATTGAAGGGCTCATGTTTCTAGGATTCATAAATTACTGCAATACTTCAGCAGTATTTTTCTTCATTGACGACTCGTGCTTCAGTGATGAGGTCCAATGCATTAAAAGCAAAAGGTCGACTGTATCGGACGGGTTAACAGTCGGCTTCAAGAAGCACTCGGGCCAAAGAAAGCAACCCATGTGCAGTAACGCAGTCAGCCTTTTCCGTTATTGCCATTATCATTTGTCAACATCCAGAGGTAGGATGAATGCTGTGCTCTGGCATATTGATAAATTTATTGTTTCTACACACACAAACTATAAGAAAAGTTTGGCACACAACCAGCTTTCTGGTAGGAAATATATCAAGCAACAATCAAAAAGAACAGGGGATCAAACATGATAACGGAGGACAGATCCTGTTAGAAGAAAAGAACAAAAAAGGAATATGAAAGTTCTTCCTGTTACCCGTCCTAGTTTCCACCCCACCTGCAAAGACGCCCCCCTTCAGAGAGTCAGAGGTCAGCCAGCTGAAGGTCAGGGGGTTTGGGGGACACGTGTTCAAACGCCGACCCAGGCGGAGGTGACCCAGCTAGGCATGAGTCGATAGCACAATCTGGAAAGCTGAAAATGCAGCTAGACACTTGCTATTAAAGTCACATCTCTACTAAATATCAAGTAACTAAATAAATATTAAGTAATTTAAAGTAAATTTAAAAAATAATAGATGTATTAATTTATAATGTTAACATTAAAATGTATTTATTAAAATTAAAAATAAAATAATTTAATAATAATATATGTAAAATTATTTATTAATACATAAAAACATTAGGTAACACTTTAGTATAGGGACCAACTCTCACTATTAAGTAGTTGCTTATTAGCATGCCTATTATTAACATATTGGCTGTTTATGAATGCTTATAAAGCACATATTCTGCACGACCATATTCTACATCCCTAATCCTACCCAATATCTAAACTTAACAACTACCTTACTAACTATTAATAAGCAGCAAATTATGAGTTTAAGGCAAAAGTTGTAGTTAATGGTTTGTTAATGGCGATAATTCGACTTTAAAATAAAGTGTGACCAAATATTATATTATATGATATTATATTAACATTAAATATTAATAGGTTATAGTTAAAGTTTCAAAGTGCCTAAAGTGTTAACGTGATATTTTATAAACTTCTATGACACTTTATGAACTTTCCAATCTCTAATTTATTTAAAGGGGTCATATGATGCGATTTCAAATTTTCCTTTCTCTTTGGAGTGTTACAAGCTGTTCGTGATATAAAAGTTAAGACTGGTCCACGCCTTCCTAAAATGCCTCGTTTAAACACGCCCCCACATGTGTTGGAAGATTTGCATAACACCACCCAAATATTCACGCAAAGAAAGAAGGAGTACATTTATTGTTGCTGCCACCGCCGCAGAGAGACGCTGTGTGTTTCGTTGCGAAAGCGAAACTACTTTGTTTGGTCTTCTAAAAGAGGACATGACTAGAAATCAGTGGTTAAGTAGTATTTACAACACTGTTCCAGAACAGTTCAACCCAAATATTCAGATGTGTGCAGCGCATTTTACACCAAATACACAAAATAATGTTCTATTTAGCAACATCATATGAGCCCTTTAAATTAAAAACTTAATAAAATGTTTTATGAAAAATGTATATATTTCTTAATTGATAACATTAATATTAAAATGTATTAAAATAATATAAAAATATTAATACAATTAAATTACAATTAAAAAAGTAATACAATTATAAATGTATTAATTTAAATCTTTTGAAATGCCATTTTTATGAAAATGCCAAAATAAAGTAAGAATGTTGGTTTAATTGAACTTAAAGCCACTTCCATACTTTATTTAAATTTAAAATGTAATTTTGTTAAATATTAATATCTACTAATTAATTAATTAATTAATTAATTAATTAATTAATTGAGTAATATAAAAATATTTAATAATAATACATGTATATATGTATAGCCTAAATGTGTACAAGCATATTTACATTAAGTCAGCTCTGCTTTCTTATATCTTATATATTAAAAATATCACAGACATTGCTGCATACATGTAAAAAGAAAAAATAATAAGTTTGATTGGATTTTTTTAATATTATTATTTTAAATTTGGGCAACTTTCAAATGTGGTCCTAAATTAAACATCAAATCTGTTCTGATTGCCTGTGATTGTGCCCATCACAACTCAAGGAAGAATGTAAAGTCTGCATAGCAACGCCCTGCAACCACTCCACCACACCCTGGCATCATGTTGGCAGCTGTATGCTCAAGCAATCACTACTGACATTTGTTGTTGATTTGTACTCTAATGATATAATTTGCATGAATGATGGGATGTTACTGCAAGCAGTCTTTGAAAATGAGACAGCGTATATCATTTTTTTTGGCAGGGTCACTTTGATATGGCACAATGATTAACATAAAAACTGTTAATGGTACTTCACGTCAAAAAAAGTGTGTCTTGGCAGAGCATTAAATGTAAACACAGTCAGTAATGTCTTAAGTCAATGTAAACGATCAGGACATAAAAACGTGTGTGTGTCAAAATACTGGATCAGTCCATTAAGCCTTGCAGTGTTACAGTGTGATAAATTTGCACAATCTCTTTACATAAATCTAGATTTGTCCCAAGCAGACCAAAGCAACCGTGAGAAGCAGGATATTTTGTTGCAATCTCATTGGTCCAAAAGCCAACAACCACATATGCTAGAAGTACGAACACTCTTCAAATGATATGAGTGCAAATGAAACCGATCCTGCACCTGCTTATTCAGTTTCACTCTTACAAGGCTGCTGAAACTATCAAGAGCCTCCCGTAAAAGCAAACACGAAGTGGAATTGCATCCAAAAACAAAGAATTCCATGGCTACGAGAGCTCAAAACTGATTATGTCCCAAATGAGACCAGACAGTACAGATTTACTCAGCGTTCGTGACCTTAGAGTAAAAATATTTCAAGTACAAATGCATCTGAAGTGTTTAAAGAAAACATTCAGTGACATTTCTAGTGTCAACAACATACCGAATTGCTCAGTAGATCTACAAATATCCATGGTCGTGAACTTAAGACATTGTCTCCAGAGGCTAGATACACACATGCTGCAAAGTGATGGTTCGGCTGAAAAGGTTAACGTTAGAAAGTCTGCTGTGATTCACAGCGCTTGTAATTTGAGTGTGAAAAAGTGTGTGTGTGTGTGAGATGATAATTCATTATGTCCGTCGGTCTGGGGAAGAATGTGTGAAAGAGTAATGAGGGTTAACAGTCCGTAACAGGAAGTGTAAAGCGTGTCACCGTCGAAAGCAACCACAGGTCAGTGAGCTGCAACACCTTCATGCTGTGTCTAAAATGAAGCTTGGCTCAATAAATCTGCAAACGCTGTGCAACAATGAAGATCAAGTGCAACTAACAATTAGGAAGTTACTCAGCATCTTAAGAATGTAAGTGTAATGTGATGTTTATCATCTTTACAGCAGGGGGGCTCAATTCTACTCCTGGAGGCCTGACTTCCTGCAGTGGTTATGTCTAAATGCCTGATCCCAGCAAGTCTAGATTTCCAGCATTAAGGACACGTCACGTTTTCAAACACAACAATCTCTATTAACTCTTACATCCACTTCTGAAATATTGATATTGAAAGTTTCATTCGTGAAACTTTTTGCAAAGATTTGCAATGATTCATTAAAAAAACCTTATACTCACTTCTTCACTGTAGGTAAAGCTGGATCACAAATGATTTGCGCGAACATAGACGCATTTAGGTAGATCGGGGGCGCATTCCCTTCAAAAAAAAAACGTAATCCACTGCGTCTTCAGCGGCTCAGATGTCGGGAGTAAATGATGACTGATATGTTCATTATTACATTCAACAACAGAACACCTCAATCAGTTAGGAGTCATTCTTGTCCACATCTGCTCCGGCGGTGAAACAATGGCGGACTGATGACAGCTCACTCAGGGCGGGTCTAAGGTAAGACGCCAGTCCAGTCTGTGCTGAAACGCTACTGTCAATCAAACAATCATGGGAGGGGCCTGCTTTTATGACGTCACACAGACAGGCATCTGAGATCGGCTCGATTTGAGAAAGGGGTAAAGATTTGAGTAGATAAAAAAAAAACACTGGGTGGATCTTTATCATTATAGGGTGGTTGTGTACACACACTGCCAACACACATTTCAGTTCAAACAACTTGTAAAAGTGCATGTAGCATCCTATGACCCCTTTAATAGGTCTAGCATAAATATGATATGATATGGAATGATGTGACATGACATTATTCAGTGTTGTTATTGTTAATTAGTGCTATTAAAATAGTTTGATGTAATTGAAATAAATCTTAAATATAAATAAAAAACAAAATAGAAGTATTAAATAAAAAATATTATAAATTGCATTACATCATATTATGTATAATGTACAATAATAATACAATAATAATGTACAAAAATAAAATACAATAATGTACAATATATTTTTAATATGTATACATATTAAATATATATATATATATATATATAAAATATGTATATATATATATACACACATGCGCACATATTTAATATGTATACATATCAAAAATAGTTTTCCATAATTTAAATAAAACTGAAATATAAATAAAAAATTAAATACAAATATTAAATTATTAAATGAAAATATAATACATTATATTACATCGCAGGGCTGCACGATAAATCGAAATGGAATCGAGATCGCGATTCGACATGTAGCATCCTATGACCCCTTTAATAGGTCTAGCATAAATATGATATGATATGGAATGATGTGACATGACATTATTCAGTGTTGTTATTGTTAATTAGTGCTATTAAAATAGTTTGATGTAATTGAAATAAATCTTAAATATAAATAAAAAACAAAATAGAAGTATTAAATAAAAAATATTATAAATTGCATTACATCATATTATGTATAATGTACAATAATAATACAATAATAATGTACAAAAATAAAATACAATAATGTACAATATATTTTTAATATGTATACATATTAAATATATATATATATATATATATAAAATATGTATATATATATATACACACATGCGCACATATTTAATATGTATACATATCAAAAATAGTTTTCCATAATTTAAATAAAACTGAAATATAAATAAAAAATTAAATACAAATATCGCATGACAATCGCATTTGCTTAATCGTGCAGCCCTATTACATCGTATTATGTATACAACTGAAATATAAATAAAAAAAGTAAAAAATAAATATTTGATGAAATGTCAACTTCAATGAAAATCTGAAATGTTGCCTTGGCAGTTAACTGAAATAAATTAGGTTAAGGTAAATAAAATTACTAAAAATAAAACTTAAATTAAAATAAACAAATGATAAATAAATATATAATAGATATAAAAAAAACTAACTAATACAAATGTCAAAAGCACATAACAAAATTACTAAGACTTAAAGTAAAATGAAAACTGAAAATATAAAAAATAAAAGCTAATTCAAATACTGTAATAATATAAAATAATACTAAAAGAACACTGATTATATTATAGTTTTATATATTATTTTACTAAACAAATTGGTACATGAAAAAAACCATGAATTATTATTATGTTATTATTATTATTATTATTATTTTTATATTTTAGCTTATATCCACCACCTAGACCACCTGCACACACAAATAAAAAGCTTTTTTAAATGGGTATATATCATTTTTCACAAAAATAAAAATAAAATAAAAAATATCGCTTATCCTTTCAACATCAGCTTTACAGAAAAGAGTGTCTTAGTCCCCCCAGTGAGGCGACTATTACAAGATTTTTTTTTTTTTTTTGCAATTACTGTTTACTTTCATGTCATTTAGCTCCTTCAGGTGTGAACAGGCCTTTACTCAAGGTCTCAAGGGTCATTTAACAATGACAGGTCTGTGTGTTATACGAGCACTAGAAATAAACCTAAGAAGGAAAGTAGATTTCCAGGCATAGAATAGAGCAACCCCTATATTATAGCCTTGAACCTGCTTTAGTACATCCTTTAGTAAATCATAATAGATGTGGACACCCATCTAGACTGATATTAAAGAATGTAAACCACAGGCCACCCAGATGTCACAAAATAGATGCTGAGCCAAAGCAAGTTATCTTCATAGAGCTTAATGGTGCGGCAGAGACAAACGGCATTGGAAAACAACACCACTGCACTGTGTCCCACGTGAAACATCAAGAATTAATGGAGTAGTGCAATCAGATTGTATGCTTATGCTAGACTAATTATTATAGATGCAGGAAAATTAACTAGAGCACATTAGTCCTCAAATCTGACACTTTAGATACTGATTACAGCTGATAAGTGTTTAGGTTACTTATGAAGACTGATACGTACCACTGGGCCACGGCGTCCCTGTTTGATATGCGACAGGTCCGGTGAGGGTCCCATGAGCCCCATGTCGCCTCTAGGACCGGGCATGCCTGGTGGCCCCATTTGTCCTGGGGGACCAAGGGAACCTTTGGGCCCTGGGCTCCCTGAGAGAGACATAAAAAGAGACAGGTTTACAGAAGAGTGGCATTGGGAAAAGAATGGAGAAACAGAATAATAAGCAGCATATTGACAAAGCTCACCTGCAGGCCCAGGTGGCCCTGGAGGTCCAGGTAAGAATGAGTGTGTCATCATCATCTTTTCACTGGTCATCTGTTTATTGACCTCTGTGTTGCTCGGCAACAAGGCAATCTGATGAAAGAAGAGTTAAACAAAACACACAGATCATTCAGGGACTCAGTGTTTCACTCACTATAGTACTAGACAAGACTGAACAGAAACATGACATACACTATTATTTTTTTTTGGTTCTGAAGCTCAAAAGAATCAAGAACACAAGATTTGCATTCAGTTTTATAGGAACAGTAACCCATAAATGAAAATAAATGTCATTATTTGCTCCTTCTAATGCCGATCCAAACCCAAAATGTTGTTATTTCTTTGCAGTAAGAATCTTCAATAAAGAATCTTCATGCTGCAAAAAAAAAATATAAATACAAAATAAAATAAAATACAAAATATAAAATAAAGAATATAAAAAACAAAATAAATATAATAAAACAAAAAAATATGAAAAATAAAAGAAATTAATAAAATATAAAAATATAAAATGAAATAAAAAAATGGAAAAGTAATATAAAAATGATAAAAAATAAAATAAAATAATAGTAACATAAAATTACAAATTATATAAAATAAAATGACTAATAAAATTAAATAAACATGAAAAATGAAAATACAATAAAACAAAATAAAATGAAATACAATAAAAAAAAATATATATATATGATTTAGGAATAAAGACTACAAGCCAAATATTACTTTTTTCATTTTATGGAATTTTTTGACAGACATGTCACTATGAATGATCTTTACATGGAAAAGAACTGCATTAAGATGTGACATATTCAGTGACATAATGGTGACTAAATTTGGTTAAACTATTCCTTTAAGAAAATGTATAAGGATGTTACTAATCATCTATCAGGAGGGAAAGGCTAAAATATGTAATATTAAAAGGTAGATAAAAGAATTATAATTTAAACCAAAGTAACGTGAGCATGTAATCTGATCTATAAACTGTAACATCTGTGTACATGCTGTTCGCAAAAACAGGAAATCTCTGAATTATTCAACTTTGTGCATGGACTGAGATCAGTGCCTGTCTTTTACAAGCCTTCTTTGCAGAGTATTTCACTTCAAAGGACTCGCTGGAAGTATCCATTACCTGCTAACCTCTGAGCTCTGGACATCAGTACACACACACACACACACACACACACACACACACACACACAGACCTTCGAGGTCTCGCCACACATAGTAGATACAGCCTTAGGCCTAGCGCATAAATCTGTTTAAGTGTCTGTGTCCAGCTCTGTGCAAGCAATTTAAATCTCATTTGTCATTGTTTCTGGTTTTGATTTGTGTCGGGTTCCTTGGACTGCACATATTTTAATCCCACGTTGCTCCGTGTGCCAATGTCAACCACAATGGTCAACCAGTGTCCATTAGACAGTGGAGTCAAATGCCTACATAGTAAACTACCTTCTAAGGCACAATCCTAACAGTCATTAAACCACATAAATGACTAATTTGGTAAGAATGCTATACTCTGTACTCTACAATAGTTCATTTTGAATTTTACTTACATTTTATAATGATATTGTCAAGTACTGAATTGTATACGGACCACAAATTTTGTGAACTTTTTGTTTTTTATTTATTTAATTTTTATAGGTTTTAATGTTGAAGATGCTTTTTAAGCTCACCAAGGCTGCATTTATTTGTAAAAAAACAAAAACAAAAAAACAGTCATTTTTAAATACTTGTAATTTTTTTTTCCATTTGAATATTTTAAAATGTAATGTAAAAAATGCACATATGTTATATGTTTAAAAATTTAATTTATTTCAGCTTGAATTTTATTTTATTCTAAAAAGTTTGAAAGAACAGCATTTACTTTAAATGGAAATCTTCTGTAATATTATCATCATTGTCATCTTTATAGTCATTTTTGATCAATTTAATGCATCCTTGCTGAATAAAACTATTATTACTATTATTTCTTAAAAAAACACTTTCTAATCAAGTATATTTATTATCTTGGATTAACTTTTACTGAGCTTTTTTCATTGCATTCTGGGACTGCATTCTTCACAAAGACATCTTAAAAAGCAAATATAATTTCAGCTATTTAATGGATTTCAATAATCTAATCTATTCTAATCTAAATGATCATAATTACAGCATTTGCATTGGAAGATCGCTAGTTTTTGGAAGAGAACTTGATGAGGCAAAAGGTAAAGAAAAGAAAGAATTTCATTACATTTTTAAACTGAAATAACAAAAACATGAATAAATCTAAAAATAAATTAATAAATAAAACTTGAGCAAGCCAATATCTCCTCTTCCAAACAAAACAATGGGGGGGAAGTTACAACAACGGTCAAAGAAACGATTCGTAAAAATCATATCAATGTTTTTGTTCTCCCAGAATCATAAGCCTTGCCTCACTCTCACTAGTTCAATACATTTTTTGCTCTCAATCTTTTCCCTCATAGTCTGCTGGACCACACGCACAAGAGCTATATATCACGCCGTGACCATGAGGGTGCTGAGTGGATTTGTTGACAGGCTCGCTTTGACTGCAGAACACTGACTCTGCGCCCTCAGCCCGTCTAAACCGCATCACTGCGTTCAACGTGATTTACTAGCCTGCAGCAAGGACAGACATAAGTCACACTACCAGATCGCTCAGCTGTTCGGCCCGTGCTGTATCGCTTTTTATTTCGCCTGTAAAGTCACCAACACATCCCTGAAGACTTGTATAACCTGAGTCTGACTTGCTCGTGAAACATTGGCAGGTAGGTTCTTGTTGGGTCGACTCGTGTCTACGGAATAAAAACATGCATATAAAAGGAAATCTGCTGCTTGTTTTAGCGAATAAGCCCTGCAGGTGGATCTGGAATAGGGCACCTTCTGTTTGAGTTGTAGAACGGTCATCTTCATCTGATGGAAGTCTTCACATGTGGCCGAGCACGTTCTCTCTTTCATGACGTTGTCTGACTTCTCAAACAGCGGAGCTGCAAAGAGACAACATGAATGTGGAAGTTAAGAAAGGTTGATGGACAACGCTAAAACGAATCAGCTGCTAAGCAAAAAAGTCAAAACATGATGGCAAAAGCTGAGAGAACTATTGATTATCAATACACATATTTAATGCAATACAAAAGTTCCCAATGAAAGCAATTAAACATTTTTTTGAAATGGACTGTTGTACCCAATATGTGTCTATGTATTTTTATGCTTAGTGTAATGCATCTTAGCCTGGCAATATGTTAACATCAAATTTCAATGAAATCAGTTTTGACCATTGTGAAAAAGAAGTACATTTAAGAATACTTTTAAAAAGAGTAATAATAAAGTTTAAAATAGTATACTTAAGAGTGAACTGAATGTAATGTTTTCAGACACTCAATTGCATATTTACAATCACGTTACAATATATTATAGTTTAAAATGATATTAAATACAATTAGTTAAGAGTGCTTTTTTGACTCGCTTAAGTATGCAATTTCAATGGCATTCCTTAGATTGTGTTTGAAATATTATATGTGCACTGTCAAATTGACTGACAAGCATTTCTTGGAAACCAAAATATAATTAATACAATTTCTACTGAAATGGTCATGTCTTTAAATATATATTTGTAATTACACCGTTGCAATGAAGCTGCAATTTAGTACATTTAAAATATATTTTAAATTATTAAAACAATGAAAAATTTACTTTTAAGTAAAACTTTCACTTTTTAAAAGTGCACTTTTTAAATACACTTATATGGCATTTTATTTCTTTCATATTATATCTGAAAGTAGAGCAATTAAACTAAAATACTTTTAAGATTGGGAATTCACAACAAGTGCACATTCAATACAATTAAGTGCACTTAAAAATGGGAATCTCCAATATGTGGCATGTAAGGCTTATAAGATTCCATAGACATCATGGCAGCTCTCGAGGTTTTGAAACAGAGCTAATGTTGCCATAAAATGGTGTCATAAACTTATAACAGGGATTTGAAGTCTTGCTCAAGGTCACAATGGAGGCTCACTCCATACATGCATCATCAGAAACATACTAGCTCCTGATCAGAATGTACTAACTACTGTCATTCCTGCCAGAAGTCTGCTGAGCTATATCACCATTACTCCTACAGCTTAGTTTGACTCACAGCCGATAACCTCATTTGATCCACACACTGTAATCTCAGTGGTCTGGAATTCCCAGAATTCCTTTTTCGTACATCTGGATTGTTGCAACCCTGAATGCCCTGAAGGTCATCTTGTTTCGTGCTCAAATTGACCCAAAAGAGAGGAAACCACAGTCAGGAAACTCTGAATGACTGATACGCTCCACAAGAAAGCCTAAAAGATAGATGGACAGAGGAGTGGAGAGGAAGGAGTGATTGATGCTAATGCTAACCGCTAGCTGGTGTCCCAAGTCATTAACCGCGATGGGTCAGTGGACTTCCTGCAGGGAGACAGGAAGCAATGTCTTATAAATGTGTCAAACCAGAAGAGGCTGCAGAATGGATTTTTTTTTTATTTTTTGTAAATAGCGAGGAGACTAAGATCAAAACCATATCTGACATGAAATGAATGGCCCTAAAAATGTTATGTATGTAATTTATAATATATATGTATGTAATATGTTATGTATGTAATTAATATATATATATATGGTCATAAATATGCCATAAATAAATAAATAAACAATTCTATTAATAATAATAATAATAATTGTTGTTTATATAAATGATTAATAGAATTATTAAATATAAAATATAAATAAATAATAATTGAATTTATAATTTAATCATTTATTATAATAATTTATTAATAATATCTATGTATCTTAAAATGATATGCATTTTTCACATTTATATGATGTCTAATAATGCTAAGTAAATGAATAAATAAATACTTTTTCTTATAGTTTTTAATAATTGTAAAAATAATTATAATATTGATATATATTTTGACACTGGAATTATTCACATACAAAAAAGAAACTTAAATTTTAATTTAACATCCACCCTTTCCACTTGGCTTATTTTCTGTACATGTTTTTTTTGTGTTTGCACTGCTTTAACTGGATGATGCATTCATGACCTGTCAGAGCATTTAGACCATACTCAATCCTTTCCACACCTGTGTGATGGAGAGATCTGTGGATGGTCATGTCCAGACAGGAAAAAAATATCTCTGGTTCTCTGTGCTCTATTTAAAACCTCAAAACGCATGTGATTCGCCTTTTTTTCCGCTCCATTTCTGCTGTTTGTTGGAAAAGCATTGGGTGAATCAAAGCAGGACTGTCTGTGAGGCTTGCAAAAGCAGCTTCTAATGGGAAAGCGGCTCTCAAACTGAAAAAAAAAATCACATAAAAACTGTGGTAATGAACTTCAATCCCATGAAGCATTACGAACTACATGAAAAAAAACATGGCTATTCAATACAAAACTACTGACTAAAAACCACTGAAACGGAGTATAAAAATGTATAAGTTTATGACAAAATTCTTCACCAAAACACATGACTGCCAAGTTGATTCATTACCTTTTACATGTTAACAACGATTTCTCTGGATCTCGCTACAGTAATTATTTCAGCAATTACACTTTGAAAGTCTGAAAGAGGTGTCTGTGAACAGTTTCAAGCCATGAACAGGTTTATATGTCCACAAAAGTCTGGGAAACTCCAAACTACAGAAGAAAGACCAAAAAGAAAGCGAACAAGCTAAAGTAAAAGAACAAAGAGTGTTGCTGAGAAAGACAAACAAAGATTCAGAGAATATACACTCACCTCGCTCGCCCTTGGTGCATGTTTTCCCATCATCCTCTAGGTAGAAGCCTTTCTCGCACTCACACCGGTAGCTGCCGGGGGTGTTCACACAGATCTGTGAGCACACCGTCTCGTTATTGTTGGCACATTCATCAATGTCTGACGCAAGAACAGAGAGTGAAAGTGTGAGGGACGGAAAGTTGGCAAAGTGCAAAAGACGCGATGTTCGCTCCTGGGGCGGCATGGAGCGATTCTGTCAGATCAGCCTGATAAACAAAATTTGACTCTCATCAAATCAACTTAACACTTGGGTCATTAAAGGTCATTAAAAAGGCATTGAAAAATCAACCCTGTGAACTAAAAACAACCCATAGAGGGCGCTAACACATTTACTAAAATAGTAAAAAATATAAAAAATAAAATACAAATAAAATGGGTAAAATTCTATATCCACCATGCTAATTTTTTAAATAATCTAATTATATTTACATATGATTTATCTATCTATCTATCTATCTATTAGGGGTGCAACGGTTCGTGGAAAAAAATCGAACTGTACGGTTCTTCACACACGGTTCGGCATGCGCTAGGACCGCAGTTCAACTTAAATCTGGCAACGCATCTGTAATATGGCTTGTTTGCTATAAATAACAGGTAAAACAAACAGGGTTCGGCTAATATATGCTTCTGTTGATGGATGCGCATTCTGGCTTCGCGCACAGGTGAGACCTGAACAGCACACGTTGATATCTGTGTTAAACTAAACTCATTTAAGCTTTGCCAGTTTAAACATTTAAGAGCCAGAGGACGCACAGTGAGAAGATTTGTGCATGCGCTCATCCGAAGCGTGCAAACCCACGCCTCAGAACGCGCGCAAATTAAGCTTTCTCTGAAGTATTGTGTTTAAATGGACAAATTCACACAAAAATTATGTCAAAATGCCCGTCTTGGTAAGTATCCTATAGCAGACATAGCCGGCTGAACGTACTGTATCAGTGCACTGGATCACCGCATTCTCTTAAAGTGACAGCACTTTCTTAATATCAAACAGCAACAACAAAGAAATCACTCACTGCTCTTGATTGAATAGCTTTTGTAACTTTAATAAAGATTAGTCTTTAATTTATACAGTCAAATATGCAATGCTGTTTTACATTTTATTACTTTATTCAATTTCTGTACCTGAAAACTAATGGTAGACCTACCTAAAAAAAAAACCCCTGAAAATCACTGTTTATTTTATTTGTATCTTTACTCTATTGTATTTATTTGTGCTGTTGCTTGTAGTTAGATAGATTATTCTTATTTTCTTTATTTTTATTTGACAGTGTAGTTTTTGCCTAAGCATAGTGCATACCAAGCTGTACTGAAACCGTGACACAAACCGAACCGTGAGTAAGTTGAACCGTTCCACCCCTACTATCTATCTATCTATCTATCTGGAAAAATTAAAATAAAATGGGTAAATGTACACTTTGAGCCTCATAAAACAAAACAAAACAAAACAAAACAAAACAAAACAAAATAAAATAAAATAAAATAAAATAAAATAAAATAAAATAAAATAAAATAAAATAAAATAAAAAATAAAATAAAATAAAATAATTTGCATACAGTTATTCTGGAGAGCAAAATGGTATATTATCATAATACATTTATTTTTTTTTGTGATTGATGCATTCACAACTGAATTTCTTTGCAATGTTTCAGTTAATGAAGAGAGTGTAATGTGCGCACATCCAAAAACTTTGGGCAGGTGCTCGATCATGAAACCCTTCACAGTCAATAAACAAAAATCAGCACACTGCCAATACTGCTCTCCAAAATGTATAAAATCACAACATTTTGACCCTAATGTCTTCATCAGGCAAAAGAAAACTGAAAAAAAAAAAGTTTTTTTGCCTGATGAACGGTCGAAACGATGTGATTTTATACATTTTTTGAGCAGCAGTGGCAGTGTGCCGATTTTTGTTTATTGACTGTGAAATATTTCAGTTAACGCCAAACCCTGACTAACACCGCAATATATTGCATATGTATTCAATATACCTAATGAAGTACACTGTTCTCAATATCTTAACATAAATAAGAGCAAAATCTTACCCAGGCAGTATGGTTTCTCACGGTTTCGGTGTCGTTCCCGGTCATAACGATACCCAGGGTAACAGGTGCACACCACACGGCCGAAATGATCGGTACACTGCTGTTCACATGGGGCGCCAGCGCACACATCATAGTCTGCATATACAAACACACCCACAAACAAACAGAAATAAACATGACAAGAAAGGAAAGTACAAGACTATAAAATAAACAAATCTAGCTTTAAATCAAAACCCACAATATAACTGTCATTTCCAAAAATCATATGCAAATGTGCTACTTCAAATGTCTTTTCCCTTTAATTTTATTATAATAGTAAAAACAAAACTCTGCAATCTGGGAAGCCAGTACTGCTAGTTCCAGCCCAAGAATTCTCGCATCTTTTCCTTATTCCACAGTTTCTCCTAGAAGAGCCAAACCATCTCAGACACAGCATGGGGCGCCATGTGAGTCAGGGAAATATGTATCCATTCTCAGCCGTTACTTTATGTGTTTCTCATCAGCGGAGAGAGGGCAGGTAAGGACACCAGAGAACACAAACAGCTCAGAAACAGAAAAAAAGCCTTTAAAAACAAGCTGTAGACTGTCCCAAAGGGGACTACTATACACTCTCTCAATGTGGCATGGGGAACCGCAGAACGCAGACAATATAATTGCATGTTTTTATTTGACAGTTACGAGTAAAAACTGGTTTGAACCCCTCAACCAAAGATCTAGAAGTATATTACTGTATTCATAAGCTAATATACAGACCTGTTCCCACTATAAAAATACACACGAGGTAATCAAGCTATCGTTACTGGTGGGGAAACTCTGCCAAGCTCTTAAAGGTGTGCTGGAAATGTTAAAACAACAGTAAAGGCACTAGCTGAGCGGTTTCCAAAAGGAATGATTTTGTTTAGAATGCTAATGGGAGACGAGGGAAAACACATCCAGAAATATCAGAGCAAATTCAACCCAGAGGAGCCTAATCTGAGTAGGAAGAGAAAGAGAGTGAGGGAAAGAGGTCTTACCTTCTGGAATACACTGTCCTAGTACAAACTTAAAACCTTCACAGCACTTCTTTCTGAAAGAGAGAAGAAGTGAAAGAAATACATTTATATTTTCTTCAAAATTGTGATTAAGCGTTACACCTGATACTAGGCTATTACAGATGGATGTCAGGATGTTGCTATACTACCATTCAAAAGTTTGGGGTTAAGATTTATTTATTTTTTCAATAAATTAATATTCTCATTCAGCAAGGACACATTAAATTGATCAAAAATGACAGAAAAGCAGAGCTGGGTAGATTACTTACAAATTTTAGTCCATTACTGATTACAGATTACAGGACGAAAACTGTAGCTAGTAATGTAATCTAGGTTACTCATTTTATGTAATGTATTGTGACTACATTTTAGATTACTTTTAGATTACTAAAAGTAGATTACTTTTAGATTTTTTGCTCTGCAGAAAAGATATGATGTTACAAAAGAGTTTATTTCAGATAAATGCTATTTTAAACTTTCCATCAATCGAAGAATCCTGAAAAAGTTGTATATAAAGTTGTGCATGGTTTCAAATATTACGCATTAAGCATCAAGACTGTTTTCAACATTGATAATAAGAAGATATGTTTCTTGGCCTCCAAATCAGCTCATTAGAATGATTTCTGAAGGATCATGTGACACTTAAGACTGTAGTAACAATGCTGAAAATTCAAGCTTTGCCAACACATTTAAAAAAAAATTTTAATACAAAAATAATATTTGAAACTGTAATAATCGTACTGTTTTTAGCATATTCTATTCTTTAAAAATATAAATGCAGCCTTGGTGAGCATAATAGACAAAAGAGGGGGAAAAAACCTTTTGAACAGCAATGTAAGTGGTTGGATGTGATTCCTGGGTAGTTGCAGTAGTTGCATTTCTTAAAACCTAATCATATTTTTTCCCCACCTGTTTTATCATTTGCCAGGAAAATCAAAAGTGCTTAGAAAAGCATCAAAGCAAATCTATCTTCAACAAGCTTCATGTTTTGAGGTATCATCCATATCTGTAGCACAAGCAAACTGGGACGAGTCACGCACAGAAGTTTAATACTCAGGGTTTTGGGTTTATTCAAACCTCCAACTAAACGGATGAGCAATAATAATAGTGATGCTTGCCTAAGAAACTCCAAGGAAAAGACAGAACCGTGGCCTCAATCCAGTCTGAAACAAACTTGCATGAATTATTAATGTGACTCTTCTGTTTTTGCGATTTTCCTAATCGTATTTAATTTGAAATCCATGTCCACAATACGAGACAGACAAAGTGAAGGTCCAAAGGGAAAAAAGGTGTTTTTTTTTCTGGACAGTGATGGAAAACACCTCCAAGGTAAGACAGTAATATTCCCCCAAAGTTTTCCTGCTCTAAGTGGTCATCGTGGAGATGTTCCTCTTTCGGGAATGACAAGGGAACAACTCACAAGCACTAACAGAAATGATTCATTTCAACACTATGCTTCAATGATTCCCAAATGTTTCAATGCTCAAAAAAGACAAACTAACAATACAACGGGGGGAAATGGAATTTGGATATTAAGTAATGGTGATATCCTTTCCAACAGTATTACTCACAAATTTTGTGGAACTGTTTAGTCTAGTCTGCCAGAGTAAGCTCTGTTGGTCTAATCTGGAAGCAAACTAAACAACAATGCTTAAATGGTGCATATTAAAAAAGCATATCAGCATGTTAAACAATTAAATGCACTGGTTTACAAGTTAATACGATTATAAACAGCTAATATATTTCCATGCAATCACTTTTACAGTCGCAGACGAAGTAAGGGGTCTGAGCTGGGCTACAGCGGGCTGGTATGGTTTGAATCATGGGAGCTGTTTAGGTGGTCTGAATCACACAGGAAAACTTTATTGGTTTGTTTGATGTTCGAGATGAAAATATCGGGAACTACAATCACTTACAAATCTCTCTCACACACACAAACCTACAACCAACCACAGTAAACCCTCCCAATATTAAGGGGCACCATCTGTATCTTGAAATCTTGAAAAAATAATAAATACACATAAAATAGACTTCAACTACATGGAACCATATGAAATTCCGTTACAGAAACGAAACCGCAAGATCTAAATATTGAAAATTTTGATTAAGGAGTGGAGAAATCACTGATAATTGAAGAATAATTAAGAACCACGACTTGGCATTGAACTTAATAGACTTGAAATACTGACTACATTAGCTTGTTTTCAGAGAGACACGCAGTCTTTCCACACCACATTATTCTTTTTTCCTGCTGTATGTTGCCCAGAGCTAATGGGTGTCTTTGGAGTTCCCTCCAAGATAAAGAATTTTCCCATGCTAACAAGAACCTGCAGCATTCAGGCTACTGAGATGCAGACTCTGGGTGTTTGTCCCTTTCTAAACTCCTAATGAAGGTTTCAAAAGTGATTTTAAAGTTTGATTCCATAGCGATACATTTTCACTCTTGATGTCAAAGGAGAACCTTTTGAAGTTATGATGCGATAGAATTAGAACTATGATGAAATAATAGAACCTCTGAATGTTCTTATGATGCCATAGGAGAACCTTTAACCTTTTAATGGTTGTTTATCTGTGTTAATGCTTCAAATAAATCTATGTAGCAATAAATGCTTTTTTTTTTGGCAAAAACTATTCATTTTTACTCTCTTATGAACCTATAAATGTAAAAACACTTTATAATAAAATGACCAAAATAGAATAGCCAATTACAAAAACCCTATATAGTATGTATAAATAAATAAATAAATAAATAATTGTATTTATTTTTTGCCAAAGAAGCTTAATTTTTAAGCTTTTACACATTAACCTATAATGTAACAGAACTTTTAATACAAAAACTCCAAATTACAAGGACTTGATTAAAAAAAATTGGTCCCACTTTATGTTAAGTGGCCCTAATACCTGTGTACTTACATAGTAACTAGATGTGTACATAGTATGTAACCCCAAATGGACAAAAGTTAACTTCAAGGATGAACAATGTGGCATAGATGAGTTTGCATTTCGGTTTTTAAAAACAGAGCAAACAGAAAGAGAAATCGCGATCTATATTATAGCTCAATAAATGAAGCATACTTTCTTAGAGCCATAGAAAGACAACCGTTTAGCTGAAAAAATGAACAATACACAATTTTACAGCCTAGGGTGAAGTCATTATGTACATTAACAAGGATTTGGGACAAATATAATGTAATTTAATGGAAAACTATGTGAATGGCGCTGTGTGGCGTGGCAGGATTTTCCGTCGTCTGCATTTAAATCGACATCTGAAGTGTCCTGCACTGTGCAGGCTGCCGCAGCCTCACGTATCAAAACATACAACACGAGGTGTCAGTGATTTCCACCACTAGAGGCCGCTCTCGCACTGTATAATGACAGCAGACCCTTCTCAGCCGCTCCAGCAATGGACACAACCCGGGAAAACTATCGGCATGGATTTTTGGCAATAACCGATAGTTCCAGCAATCAACTATCGGTGCCGATTAATCGGCAAAACCGATACATCGGTCGACCTCTATTAAATGTGAACTAGCACCTCATGACTACACCACATTATGTACAAGAAGCTGCAAAAGACACAGGCGCAAATGGAATGTACAAAACATAGTGACATTAATTTTTAAGTAAATATAATGGGCGATATATTGCGTCACCAAAAATTATTGAGGTCATGTACATATATTGCGCGATAAGTCGATATATTGATTATTGCGACAGGCCTCATCCAACTCCTCCCACTATACATATCCCTAAATCTACCCATCTCCACCCCCTGGATCCCATTTCCACCCCTAAACCGACCCATCTCCACCCCCTGGATCAATATATACATATTGTTGTTACAAAATGTAGTTATATATGTCCTGTTACACATTTGTACTTACACAAACCATTCGGAGGGTTGTTACATGTGTGTAGTTACAGAAATATTACAGCTCTAGATAATATGTACCAATGTGTACTTACACTGTGGTTACATACTACGTACAAATCTAGTTACTATGTAAGTACACAGGTATTTGGGCCACTTAATATAAAGTGGGACCAAAAAATTAAAGGGATAGTTCACCCAGAAATAAAAATTCTGTCATTAATTACTCAACCTCATGTTGTTCCAAACCCGTAACACCTCTCTGGCCCTCCCATTGACAGCAAGTATCCTTACACGATCAAGGTCCAGAAACATAGAAAGGAGATCGGTAAAATAATCCATGTGACATCAGGGGTTCAACTGTAATTTTACAAAGCTACAAGAATACTTTTTGTGCACAAAAGAAAAAAAAACAACTTTATTCAACAATTCGTCTCACCTGGCGCCATTTTGGAGAGTATCCACTGAACGTAAACTACGTATGCTGTTCTGTGTCAGCTGCGCCACGTGGAAGTATTCTATTCAAAAAGTATTCTCGTAGCTTCGTATAATTACGGTTGAACCCCTGATGTCATATGGATTATTTTACCGATTTCCTTGCTACGTTTCTGGACCTTGATCGTGTAAGGACACTTGCTGTCTATGGGAGGGTCAGAGAGCTCACGGGATGCATCAAAAATATGAACGGAGGTCTTACGGGTTTGGAATGACATGAGGGTGAGTAATTAATGACAGAATTTTCATTTTTGGGTGAACTAACCTTAACTTTAAATCTTTTTTGTATATGCAAAAGAAACTTAATTTTTAAGAGTGTATAAGAGAGATCATGGTAGGATGGTCTGCCTTCTTACCCAGTAAAAAAAGTCTGAACTCAATAAGACCCATGCTGCATCTGCGCAGAGCTGTAAAATCAACCGTGCAGTGCCACACAAGCGCTGTAACTCATATTTATATGGTGAAAAGCATCAGAAACTGAGAGAGTCCATGGGGAGAAAGCACTGAGAAGTGGAAGAGGAGGACAGAAGAGGCACAAATCTCCTGCTGTGGGAGGTGATGATGGGTGTGAGAGCAGAACGAGGTGGAGGTGATTTTCACACTTCGATGCATGTTTGCATTCATGTACACACAGACACTCAGGGTCACATTTACTCTACCAAAGTAAAA